GGACCGTAAACCCTCCACTCTACATGAAGGAGTTCGCCTGGCGGACGAGTATACGGATGCCCGTAAACTGGACAGTGCTATTGGTAAGACTGTTGCCAGAGTGGAATACCAACCAGCAGCACCTTCAGCAGCTACTGTATACCAACCACCGACGAACCGGCCATCAGCACCCCCTCCATCTAACCAGTATCAGCAGCCGCCCTGGTTCAACTCACGGGACTACGTCCAACCCATTAGATGCTTTTTGTGCAAGCAGCTAGGGCACAAGAGACCGGAGTGCCCGATGAACAGTGCTAACCAGGCCCAGTCTTGGAGGAGACCAGCCAGCGGGAATACACGACCCCCTCTCCCGGCTGCTCACTGCGTAGAGGAAGAGGAATGCTGGGGCATCCTGCATGAGGCAGACCCTGTACAAGCTGCTCACCAGGATAACCGACAGAACCACCGGCAATTTGTCAAGGCCAACGGGAAGGAGGTCTGAGGGATACCAGTGCAACCATGACATTACTTCAGAAGCACTTGGTGTCTGAGACCCAACATACGGGAGACACGGTAGCAGTGCGAGTAGCCGAGGCGCTGTGTTTCGCCTACCCGTTGCCCGGGTACATTTGGATTGGGGAGTGGGCGCTAGACATGTGAATGTGGGGGTCATGAAGGACTTACCAGTGGATGTCCTCCTTGGCGCCCCTTGTGTCAGCCTTCGCTCCCATGGGTCCTGCTGAAGTGGACGCTGTTACGACCCGTGCCCAGACCCGTGCCGCCGAGACCGGCCCACATGCTGCTGAGACCCAGGTAAAACTCTCTACCCCGACTTGTACCTTATACCAGGCCCCTTTATGCTGGGATACCCCAGAGATGTACGGGAGGGAAACCCGGGAAGACTCGAATTTAGAAAAGTATAGGGCCAGGGCAGATACTGGGGGAGAGGGAGTTGATAGGGAGCGTTACGAGTGGGTAGGGGATAGGCTATACAGGATCCCTAAACCGTCCCAGAAAAAGAATACCCCTCCGCAGAATCGGCAGCTGGTGGTGCCTGCGAAATACCGGCAAGAGATTCTGCGGATCGGG